GAAAAGTTCAAATTGTATTTGTTTTTATCAAAAAAAAAAAAAAAAAGTTTGAACCCCAACTTTGAGGGCTTTTATCGCCCCGTCCCTAGAGCTTTGTGAGGGAGATAAATCTCAGGATGTGTCCCAACAGACTATGGAACAAGAGCTGCATGTACACTGCGTCTATAAGAAGTCCAATTCTATGTCTCAGAAATCGAACCCCTACACTGCAACTGTCAGCAAGGCGTGAAATGACCTTATTCCTGCTCTTTGCACTACTGGGCTATGCCTCGAGGGACTGTATTTGTTTTTATCCTCAATAGTATTGGTAGTTGGAAGAAAGGGACAATAAACAAGTTGAGGAATAAATTAAGCATAATGTAATGATATTTAAGCACTAATTAAGCAAGCTGGTATATAGCTGGAGGTGCACTTAATGTGTATTCAAGGCAAGGAAAGAATGATTAACTTTAGGGTCGGATAAAAAATGTTTAATATTAATTTTCTATAAAAAATTTAAAACTATAATGGAAATAACTGGATTTTTTTTTTTTTTTTTTTAGATTGACTGATTTTTGTTCTTTCATAAATTAATCTCCAGAGCTTGCGCGGATCTCACTTTTAAAACATGAATGATACCTTTTCTTGACGAGTAAATCCATTTTGATTTAGATATGAATTTGAGATACGAGGATAAAATGCAAGATTAAAGCACTTTCGAAATATGATTATTTTAAAATTAGTTTCCAAACAAAAATTAAGATAATTTCCTCTAAAAGTTCTTCTACATGAAGCAAAAATACAAATCATACCAAATAGGTCCTTAGACTATGATGGGACAAATGGGTTATATGTTAATTACCTAATAACAAATGTAAAATGCATGATTCATATTGATGACTCATATGTTGGAAAAATTTTAGCCTTAGTTTGTTTCTCATTTTTTGAAGAATGAGAATGAAAAATATAACCGTTACGGACCCCACATAAGAGATATAAATTCAAATTTGGTAGTTTGATGTGATGGATAACGGTCATATTTTTCATTTTAATGAGAAAATAATGGAAACCAAATAGGGGCATGTGGGCCTACATATATAATTAATTGTGTAGAAAGTTATCTTAAAGTTAAGCTCAAAATTAAAGTGATCTAATAAAGAATTAAATAGTTGGGCTTAGAGTATCTAAATAAAATATAGGGGTATGGTTCCCAATTCACATGCAACTTCTTATTCTTTGTATTATCCCATCAACATGAGAATATAAAGAAAGCATATTGAAGAGGAATACCTAATACCCAGTTTGGTTAAAAAAGAAACAGTAAATGTTCGAAAAAGATAAATCATTTAACTGTTATTTTTTGTGAAAATCTAGGACACATGAAGAGAGATTGTACTAAATATCCCGCTTGGCGTGTAAAGTCAAGTACACTTCTCATTTTTCTATGTTTTGATGTTAATTTAGTTTCAGTACCTACACACATTTCGATGTCACATTCAAATGAGGGTGTCTATGCAGGGTTGCCTAAACAGCCTAAAGTCAATTGATCCTGAAAGATTCATCTGTTTGGGATGGTGACAAATCAGTTAGAGTTGAGGCTATAAGAACTTTTAGATCATTATTAAAAATTGGTTATTATTTAGATTTGAAAGAGACATTTAAAATATCGTCTTTTTGGACAAAATTTGGTTTCCGTTTCTACCTTGAACAAGTTCGATTATTTTTACTCAATTGAAAATAGTAGGTTTAGTCTTTTTCTTAATTCAAATATTATGGGTATCAGTTCTTTATCCGGTTATGATAATATATATTTGCTTAATACAGTTGTTTCTTATAAAGAACCATTGCATGTGAATTTATGTGGTATTAAACATAAATTAATTAATGAGAATTCTACTTCGTTATGATATAAACGATTAGGTCCTATATCTCAAAAGAGAATGAAAAATTTTGTGTTAAAAGGAATTCTTGATTTCCTTAATTTTTTAGACTTAAGTGTTTATGTTAATTACATTAAAGGAAAACAAACAAACATAAGGAGATAGAACTTAAGACGTCTTGGAACTAATGCATATGAATATTTGTGGGCCATTTTCTTTGACTTCTTAAAATGATCAACGGGAAATTATTATGTTTACGAACGAATTTTTCTCATTATGGCTACATGTATCTCATCTATGGAAAATCCCGAACACTGGACATGTTCAAGGCTTATGAGGTCGAAGTTGAAATTCAATCCAGTAAAAGAATTAAACAAGTCAAATTTTACCATAAGGGTGAATACTATGATAGATGTAACAGATTAGGAGAACAATATCCAAGGCCTTTTTGCTAAATTCCTATAAGAGTGTGGAATCGTCCCATATTATACCAGAATCACTCTAGGTTGAAGCACTTCCATTTGTTGTAAATTAACTGCAAAGTTCATGATGAGAGATATAAGACTCGTCTTGTTGTAAATGACTTTACTCAAAAGGAAATGCTTTGACTTTAAAGAGATTCTCTCTAGTTTCTATGAAAGACTCTTTTAAGACTATTATGGCATTTGTGACACATTTTAATTTTAAGTTACATCTGATGATTTACAAATTAAAGAAATCCATCGATGGTCTTAAGCAGGTTTCCCATCAATGGTATTACAAATTCATCAAATAATTATCTCTTTTGATTTTGAGATGAATTCAGTTGATGATTGTATACATCACAAGTTCAATGTAAATAAGCATATTTTTCTTGTATTGTATGTTGATAACATACTACTTGCCTGCAATGATATAGGCTTATTATACGAAATCAAGAGATTTCTATTGTGGAATTTTGAAATGAAAAATTTTCGTGACGCCTCTTTTTTATTGATATATATACATTGGGATTGTTCTCAAGATTTTTTTTTGGATTATCACAAAATGATTATATCGATAAAGTTCTTAAAAGATTTAAGATGCAGGTATGTAAATTAAGTGATACCCCTATTATTGAGGATAACAAGTTCAGTCTTAATTAATGCTTCAAGGATAAACTTAAAAAAAGGAAAATACAGAAAATTTCCTGCGCTTTGGGAGTTGGGAGTTTAATGTATGTTAATGCTTGCTTACGTTTGAATATGACATTCATTGTTAGAATGCTAGACATATATTTAAATAACTCTAGGATGAATATTTGGAAAACAACCAATTACGATATTTGGTATTTATAGAGAACTAAGGATCACATGATCACATTTAGAAAAATCAGACCAATTGGATATCCTGATTATGATAATGAAATATGATTGCGAAATTTTGTCACTGGGCTACATATTTTGGATGGATTTGAAAGGTTACTTTAGTTATTTTGTGACAATAACAGCCTTGTATTCCATCATGAACTTGACGATGTCAAAGTTTATAGACATCAAGTTTCTAGTTATTAGAAAATAATTCAAAGTGTTCAGGTTTTTAAGGAATATATTAGGACAAACTGTATAATTGCGAATCGGCTTACTAAAGGGCTATCACCAAAAGTCTTATATGAGCATACTGCTCACATGGGTGTTGCATCTTTTGATAACATGCCAGTCTAGTGAGGGTTTGTATTTGGATGTCTGTTTTAGATACACAATTCTATCAATGAATATTCGGTTTATTTCAGAAAAAAGTGTTTGGATCACACTGCATGTAATTTCCATGCTACATATCTACACTTGATCTATATTATTTGATTGTGCTGATATATGTGATCATTGAAGGTTTAGTTATGATATTTGTAACGAATGCCGCTTTGATCCTATATTGACATAATTGATGGACGACATTGTTTGGAGATGCTTTTGGCTCTAATAGCAAAAGTTTTGATGTCATAAGGTTACACACATTTATCAAGTAACATATGTGGCCCAAGAGAGAGATTATTGGGAAAATTTCAATTTGTCATGTGAGCCTACATATGTAATTAATTATATGTAATACTATCTTCAAGTTAAACCTAAAATTAAAGTTATATAATAAAGAATTAAATTGTTGAGTTTAGAACATCTAAATATAGTGTGGGTTGGATTATATGTGTAGAAATCATAATCCTTTAAAATTATATTTCATGATGGATGAAATAATTATGGATATATATACGTTATGGTTTCCAATTCATATACAATTTCTCATTCTTTGTGTCATCACATCAACACAAAAATACAAGAGAAAGCATATTGAAGAGAAAGATCAAATACCCACAATCAAAAATCAAGATCAAGAATTAAAAAATCAAAGGAGGCAAAAATTCAAGATTAAAAGTGAAGAAATCAAAGATGAAAAGATTGCAATTTAAGTTTCAATATTCAAGATTCAGAACCAAGATCTAGTAATAAAAAATCGTTCCTAATGAATTAAGGTATGTTTCACATTATTAATTTTCTTGATAATTTGATATGGATAATCTTGACAATAAAAAAATTTAAGTTTTTAAGTTCTAAAGTTAATAGTTTCAACATCATAATAATGTGATATATAAGCAGAGAATGAAAAAAAATAACATAAAGTTTTGGTCTAATTAAAGCTGGTCCTTCAGGTAACTATGGGCTTGGAGTGCACCGGCCCGTTGTCCTTCCACTGTCAGGAGCGAGAAGTTCTTGCAGCTCTGTGAAGCCAGCCTGACCCATTGCCCTCCTCTCTAACCATAAGGCTCGAGCTTTCATCCAACCCTCAAGCTTTGAACAGGCAGGCCTGTATACCATCTGGGCAGGCTTTATATTCCAATCGGGTTACATGCCACACCTTACCGAGCTCCAAACATTACCATTCTACGACCAACTTTTATTCTATTCTTTTTCATCGATATGGGATTGGGTCAGGGCAGCTTAGCAACTTGAGAAATGGAGCTAGCTAGCTCTTGATTCTTTTATTCTTAGATGCACTTTCCTATTAATTAAAATAATTATTGCGACGTTCAAAACGTATTTTTTTTTCAAAAAAATGACTTATGTTGGGTAAGAGAAATTTGATCCCATTATTTTAACTCATTTTCCTCCAAACTAATTTTCGACCACATTTAACGAGATGAGACCCATTGCTATTATTACTAAAAATCTGTCTTTGATGTTAACTGTAGAAGCTTAGATTCTTGTAAGGTACTCAAGATTTCTATGAAGAAAGTAAAGTAAAATGATCCTTTCCATCCTCGATCAAATGAAGATAATACATTTCATCTAAAGTATGGCTCCTTCAATATAAACTCAGTGGCCAATAACTGGACCCTCCAACATCTCATGCCAGAATTTCCAGTTTCACCTTCCCACTCACCTCTATTGAGCAGTCCTTTCTGATACTTCTTGTGCCTCCATATTCGTACAAAATCTCGACAAGAATTTCAAAGGGACAGAACGAATTCGGAACTCATAATTCAGGACTACTAAGAATATCCATTCCCATTCTTCTGCGCCTTTTTCTTATGAGACATGGTGCATTGAGGACAAACGTATTCTAGACCATCTGTCTTTGCATAATCCTGAAAAGAGTTCAAACAATGACAATCAAACCAGATGTTCATGAGATGGATGAAAATATGTTTGAAACTATGAGATTATAAAGAGGTGAATCGATACTTTAAAGGCACCCAAACCGGGTCTTCGGTCGCATCCAAAATGGGCCCACTCCCCGCATATGCCACAGTTAACCCAGTCTCCAGCAGCGCTACTGATGGATATATAAAACAAACCATGTTAGTAGTCAACTCTTTGATAGAATAGTTCCTTAAGCATAAGAGCACAAAAAATGAGATTGAAGGACCTGCGACACAATAAGCAGCACTCTCCATCTACATCATCATGAGCCAATTCATATTCCAAAAGGTAAGTTTCATAGTGTCTTTTAAGCGTATTTCCAACACCCTGTATCAATCGTAAAAGAAACTAAATTGAGATAAAAGTAGAGTATACCTTTGCAGTTTCCATCTGGAGAATATTTACATTGTATCACATAAAAAGTAGACCAGGCTAGAGTTCCTAAAAACTGGTCATGATTATGCAAAAAGAAAGGGTATTAGTGCAATATAGATACCAAGGTAATAGCATCTAACCATTGAACTAAAACATATTATACTCCAGTTTAAGTGCAGCGGTTACATGCACTGTGGGCTATTGATCCAGATGCTAACACACGCAAGGTATCAATCCAGAATCCAAATTCACCTCTTGTGTCACGTTTGGTCGGAAGAATTGAATAGCACTAGACAGTATCAACGAAGGAAAAGAAATGCTAAAAATCTTGTTCCTATTCGCTAAATACCACGTACAAAAATGCACTAGGTGATTCCTAAGCATTGCACTAAAAAATATCTAAGTTTAGAATTAACTAGCTGAGTTACAGGGCATACAGTCATTCTATTTGTCACAGTGTGATTGCGCATCTTCGAGAAAACCTGTCCCTTCCAATTTATGCCGTTGCCAACATGAAAACCTCCTCTTGTGACCACCTGATTAAGATACAAATTACAATTATCACCTCTATGTACTTTCTTCATGTATTTTGTAATAAAACCAACAGATATTCTGTTCTCGGAGAAATCAGAATGACAAAACTTACCTCCCTATACAAATTAAAGAGATCAAGACGCTTTGCATTGAGTATAGCATCTGGGAATTCAGCAAGCCCACCTTGAGGAATGAGACGATTATGTCCTCGGAGTATCAAAAATTGCATTACATCCTTAAGGAACTCCTCCTTTGCAGTTACAAGAACGGAAACAGTAAGAAAAAGATGAGGATGACAAGAGAGAGCCATAAGTTAACATTGTGGCAATGCCTTGCTGATGCTTCAGAAACAACGCAAGCATAAATGTATCAATTTACCTTGCACCTTTTTTTTTTTTTTTTTTAAAAATATTCTTGAGATTATAACAATGCTAATTTGCATCAGCTCTGAAAAATATTCAATGTGATGGTAATCTCTGATCTTTGGTTATGTCATGACCTACATCCAGTGTATGCGTCGCAACAAGTAATGCAAGATTGGTCTATTCTAATAGAATAGGGCAAAAACTAGACACAAATTTAAAGATTTCAGAAATATATGTAGGCAGACGTGCCAAATTTAATTGAATCCTATTCTATTTTAACAGAATACAGCAAAAATTAGGCACAAATTTAATTAAACTCTTACATCACATTTATTGAAGATATGCAAGAACTGAACTTAGAAGAATGCATCTGCTTATTATCAATTTAAACAGTGTCTTCATGGGTGCCCGCATAATTTATAGCACGGCATAATCCATAAACAAGACCAGATCCCTGATGCATCTGAAATAGCAGCAAATGTGATATGCAAGTCAGGGAAATTTACCTCAGAGCACACATGTATTGGGTTTCTCCCACAACCATGTTTCTTAAGAGGAAGAGGATTCAAAGAAATTATTTGCTTAGCCTGATACGAGCCCGCCGTTGATTTTCGCTGGGTAACAGGAGCCACTCCAGCACCTCCGTGCTTTGTAGAAGGAACAATAGAAGATTTAACCTTTGTCTGACTTCCATCATTCCCATCAGCTTCTGAAATTCTCGAAAAGGGAAGCATTTTCTGGTGATGAATGTGAGGAATGGGCCTCATGGCAGCAATTTTAATCATTTGTCTTGCTGGCACAAGAGGCACAGGGACCCCATTCACCAATCCACTTTCCATATCACCATTATCTTCCTTCTTCACAGTCGCTTGATTTCCAGAAACTAAACCATTTTGAGAGCCAATGCTTTTTTCTAGTGACCTCTTTCTACTAGGAGGTGGTGGTCTGAACCAGGTGGGAAAGCTGCTGATCCTTAGATTGTTCGAATTACTATCCTTCACCTGCTGCTTATAGAAGAAAAGAAGCCGCTCTGCATCTTCCTTCTCAAATGAAGCTACAGCTAATCCCTGGACACCGGCAACACCAAGAGCAACTAAACTGCGATATGAAACATCTGGTGCTAGTTGCCTCAAAACCTGGAATTATTATAATAACCACAAGAAGCACGAAACATCAAATAAAGGACAAAATGAGCTGGCAGCATAGTAATAAAAAGGCTCCAATAGAGTCCATATGAAAATTTTCTAGTGCAGTTAAAAAACTACTAAATCAGTTAACCACTTCATGAGAGCCAACAACGATGAAGTAAATAAGAGACAAACCACCAAAAGACAACCTTCAGTTAACAATTCCAGTGGTTTTAAAAACTGGACCAGATTGGTTGGTATGACCAAAAACTGGTGAGCTGGACTCGTGCCCAATCCAGTCTCATAGTTTGGACCATTTCACAATAAAACATTTATATACACCACTAAAACCAGCAGTTTATTTAAAAACTTACAAAGTCTCCCTTCAAAGTTTTGAACTCGACACCACAGGAATATTATATCAGACTAGTCACCTCTAAGCTAATTTATCTCACGGATCAATCCTAGCGATCAAGAATTGTCACTATCATATATGTTAATATCAATTATTTATGATAATTTTTATTTTGGAGCATGTTGTCAAAATTTACCGTGTGATTCATCAAGTACGGTAGAAAATACTTCGTTAGTATTTGATTATCAAGGACATATCATGTTAAATTTTTACATAAACAAAAAAATAAATTTGAACTCAGAGCAACCCGATATTAACAAAATATAAAGTAAAATGAAGACTGGACAAGAGTTATAAGTAATTTATAAAGCTCCAAATCATAACAAGACAATTTCCAAATTATTTGTAAATAAAAAATAACATATATTTCCTTCACCTTCCACTTTAACAATTATAAATTACTATGGAATTTCAATACATAAATGTACCAGAAGGAAAACTCTGACATACAAATTAAAAAAGAATAAGTTCATTATTTTTGTAATCAATTTAAGCAAGGGATGTCAATGGCGTGAGTTGAGTTGGCATTTTCACATGTAAGCTGCTTGCTGGCTCGTGGCTCGCCCCAAAGCGAGTTTAAGGAGCTAGGCGGGCCATAAAATTTTAAAATGAGCTGGCTCGTACCAGCTTGTGCTTGGCTCACCCCAAAGCAAGCACGAGCCAGCTCATGCGGTGGGCCTAGATGAGCTGGTTCGGCCTATTAACATCCCTATTTTAAGCCTATGTTTGACTCATGGTTATAAACACTAAACTACTTTATATTCACATATTTTCAGGAGCTCACAAGTACTAATCTCTTTTCCAACACTTATTCTATATATTTATAATTTAAACAATATAAACACTTCCCAAACATGTTGTAAATCATTTGTAATTTCATTCTATCCAAGCTTAAGAGTTCTTTGTCAGAGTTAAACGACAAAAAAGGTGTCATTGGGGTTTCTAATATTTTCCATCAAATCATAGAAATTAACTTGAGGTCAAGTACTTATAAGATCCGACATTTTGTACATGCATTAAAGGGATGGGACTGTTAAGACGAGCAAATAGAGTTGACAAGTTACGAGAGAACTAAAGCCAATCTGTTTCATGAAGGCCCACTAAAATTGTAGAATGTGCAGAAGAAATGCAAATAATGACCTGGGAAGCCCATGTTGGAACCTTCAAGGAAACTTCGAACACTGCAGCCCCGCAAGCTATTGCAACTGATCTTCGAGGTTCCGACAAGCATGGTTTGCTTTCCTCACAATTTGGCAGTGCATGAATCAGCTGACTTTTTTCAATGATTTCACTTTTTATATGATTTTCCAATTGCTGAAATTAAATAAATAAATAAAAATGCGCCAAGCATAGTCAAGTTCAGGTAAAACCAAAGCATAAACTGTGATATTAGGAATTAAATAAATGAAATCGTGGGATTAAAAACATAGATGCATTACCTGATCGTCGAAACACGTTTGAGCACTTCCTGATACCAAAAGAGAGATGTGAGCAGAACTACTGGTTGACAAATCACATCGCATGGTCACGACACCACGAGAAAATGTGCCGGCCTGAAGTGGTGGTGGAAGGGCACTGAACAACAAAACAAATGTTTTCAGAGAATGTTAGTAAATATTACAGCATCAACAGGACAAAATGCTTCACCCAAAATTTGCAGGATGCACATAGGAAAAAAAAAAGTCACTCAAAATATCCCAACAAGAGTAAGCTGCAACCCATTCTGGAGGTGAGCCACCATTACCCAGGGGAAAGAATACAAGAGGGTTGCAAACTTGAACATCCTTATGTGAGATATATTTACTAATGCTAAGTGAGTGAAATCTTAATAGTTTGTTAGACTAAAGAGCTGTAAAGGGGTAAAGAAATTCTCACATATAGCTAAAATTCCTAATAATATATGTATGGAAACAAAATACATACCTTGCCCTGTTATGTAGTTTGCTGCACCGCATCTGAATCCATATCAAGGAAGTAAGGTAGATCAAATTACTCAAAACACGTAGAAGAAACATAAAAAAATGCAAGACATTGAGAGATTACAAACATAAACTCATTTTGTTTCATCGCATCTCCAGTAGTAACAGGAAGGAGGTGGAAGCGAGGGAAATAACAATTCAGTGTCATACTTACTTCAATACTCAATAGTGCATTGAGGCCATCCTCCAGAGACCCCAATAAGAAAGCATCCTGAAAAGGAAGTCATCCCATGGCAGAATATCCAAGGGTACATTGAATTGTTAAAAAAATGCTTATGGAGAAGAGCACACGAAAGACAAACTAAAAGGCATCGGTTCAGTTACCAATGAATTTGCCACTCCACAGACAAGAAACCTCATGTTTATATCATCATCATATATCTTCACGGCGGGAAGGTCACCAGAGGCGCTTTCTTCATCATCCTCGGGACCTATCTCAGGTAGGGTTACACTAATATATGGAGGTTCCCCAAGAAGATTAGGGCCCAATTTATCATTAACTTCCGGAGTGTTATCATGAAGGACCACATTATTTTGAACGCAATGCAGCCTAAAGGAGGCATGTGCAAGCTGAAATACATCCCAAGTGTGACAGTATGAACTGTAATCGAAAAAAAAAAAAAAGAGCTTCAGAGAGAAAATTAATGTTTTCCATATTGAAGAAAGTAGCAAAATGCATGTTATAATTACTTTGATCCATATCTGATCAGCTCTTGCAATAAAACATATGGTCACTGACATCAAGTATAACACAGTCAATTGGAAAACTTAAGAATAGGGTAAAATATACTGATTGTCACAGTACATAGGGCAAAATTTCATGTTGCCTGAACTTGATCTTCCAAAATAGTCAATTTACCTCATTCGTTTCACTTTAGTCATCTTGTTAGTTGGCCATCCATTATTAACACAATCATGTGCATGTCTTAATGGGAAATCTGATAGAGCATTTTTCTCCTCTAATTTTTAGACCAGCTGTGTAAATTTGTGCAATTCAGCACCACCCCCAGATTACCACCGTTACTTTCTTCCGAAGCATAAACGCCATTGCCATCACCATCTTCAACCTCATCTATGGGATTTCCAACAGTGACATGTTCTTTGCCTCCTCCATCACTCTCTCAACAAGCTCCATGGATTCATCTGTACCCTAGCCAATATGGTTAGCTTAAATCTAATGCAGAAGCAGGTACTTTGCATGAAGACCCTATATTAAAAAAGAAGAGCTTCAAATCCCTCTCCTCTTCTTTTAGGGAGAAGTGAACAGATGGTTAGCAACGATGGCATTACAGTTAATGGGTTGTGACTTATAATGAATCTTGAACCGCTTAAAATCGGGTTTCAGATTGGGTCATGAGTATCAGTGTCCCGACGCGACGGTTGACGACAACGCTAGGGAGTCCGGAGACGTCGACGGGGGCCTCGGAAAGAGTTATCTTTTCTGTTTAACAGCTTGCCCACCTTGGAAACGGCTCAGCCAGAGGTAGATCCATTGGCTGGAAGAGCACCGCACGTCTCATGGTGTCCGGTGCGCCCCCGGCAGCCTTTGAAAATTCGGAGGACCGAGTACCGTCCACGCTCGATCGTACTCATAATCGCATCAGGTCTTCAAGGTGAACAACCTCTGGTTAATAGAACAATGTAAGCAAGGGAAGTCGGCAAAATGAAGAAATTCAACCAAGCGCAGGTAAACGGCGGGAGTAACTATGACTCTCTTAAGGTAGCCAAATGCCTCGTCATCTAATTAGTGACCCGCACGAATGAATTAACGAGATTCACACTGTCCCTGTCTACTATCTAGCGAAACCGCAGTCAAGAGAACGGACTTGGCAGAATCAGCGGGGAAAGAAGACCCTGTTGAGCTTGACTCTAGTCCGACTTTGTGAAATGACTTGAGAGGTGTAGGATAAGTGGGAGCAGAAAGGCGAAAGTGAAATACCACTACTTTTAACGTTATTTTACTTATTCTGTGAATCGGAGACGGGGACCTAAGGCTTGCTTTGCGAGCCAATCCGGGCAGAAGACATTGTCAGGTGGGGAGTTTGGCTGGGGCGGCACATCTGTTAAAAGATAACGCAGGTGTCCTAAGATGAGCTCAACGAGAATAGAAATCTCGTGTGGAACAAAAGAGTAAAAGCTCGTTTGATTATGATTTCTAGTACGAATACGAACCGTGAAAGCATGGCCTAACAATTGTAAATATGCTGCAAATATTTCCCACACTATCAAAATCTGGTCACCATTGTAAATATGTGGCAAATATTTACACGGGTGGTTTAAAAAATTATTGGAAAATGTCATTGTACAATGTTTTCTTACAACATTGTTGACAATGTTGGTAGGTGGAAAAAAAAGTGTTGAAAGGGAAGAGAAATTGTTTCTTAAACTATCCAATGACAATGTGCCAAGTGGCATTTTGTCAACAATGTTGTAAAAAACATTGTACACTAAGCATGATTCAAAATTATTCTCTTTGAATAATGGATGGCAAACTAACTAACCAGGTGACATAACTAAACATTTTAGAAAGCAAAGTGACCATTTCGGTGATTAACAAGAAATTTCACCCTAACCCAAAATATACCGACCATCACTGTTTTTTATCTAACTGAACATTTGTTAGCAAATGAATAAAAAACCATATAAATAAAATTTAGGAGTTAAACAAAAGACAATGTAGGGTTAAATTCATAAATGGCCACCCAAATTTATACTTGGTGTTACCACTGCCACTCAATTTGATTTTGTTTCATCATGGTTATCCAACTTTATACTTAATGTCACTGTGGCCATCCAATTTAATTTTATTTCACCATAGCCAACCCATTTCATATAACATTTCATCATGGCCACCCAACTTTATTTACCATTTTCACTAATTTTAAAAGGGGTAAGATGTTAACTTTGCAGTATATATATAAAATAAATTTGAAAAAAATTATTTTAAAAAATAAAATAAAAACTCATCTTAAAAAAGTTACTTAAAAAAAAATAAAAACTTATTTTAAAAAAATTACTTAAAAAAATAAAATAAAAACTCATTTAAAAAAATGTTTTTAAAATAAAATAAAAACTTATTTTAAAAAAGTTAATCAAACAAATAATACAAAATAAAGCGTTATTTGAAAAAAATGTTCCTTAAGAAAAAGTTACTTAGAAAAATAAAATAAAAACTTACTTTAAAATTAAAAACCTTTTTTGATTTATTTTTTATATATAATATAAAGTAACAATTTTAACCACTTTAAAAAATTAGTGAAAATTGTGAAAAGATATTGAATGGTCGTGATGAAATAAAATCAAATTGAGTAACCATGATAGCACTAAATATAAATTTAGATGGTCATGGTGAAACAAAATCAAATTAGATGGCTATGACGACACTAACTATAAAGTTTGGTGGCTATTAGTGGATTTAATTCGACAATGTAGGTCAAAATTAATATATTTCAATTCCTAACAAAATTGGTCAAAATTACAAGAATATCTTAAAATCTCGAGAGAGAGAGAGAGAGAGAGAGAGAACCAGAGATTTATAAACCCAATCTAGCTATGAAGCATGGACAATGCTATTAGGGTAGTATGTTCATGTTTGTGTCTGACATGTATCCATGTTACGTTGAATATTGACACTCCTCAAACATGACTAGTGACTATGGCAAGGCAGTATGCTTTGCTCTCTCGCGACCTCTACTCTAATCAAAAGACCAAGATGTGTTGACAAGCCATGTGATGAATCCTATTTTTAGATAGTTCTATATTTTTCGACGCTCGGGTGGGCACATTATTCGGGCAAGTGTCCCACGTCATAGTGTCGTGTCCAATGGTAAAAGTATAAAAATAAATACATAATATACAAATATAAAATTTTAAAGAACTTAAGCCTCCATTTGGCAATATTTATATGGTCAAACTTAATTTTCAACCACACACTCCAATACATCACAAGTACCATCCACCACCCGTTTCTATTTATTTATAAATTAACCATTTATAAATTCTTCCTAAATGGAGGCTAAATAGTGGGTAGTTGTGTCCCTAACATATAGGTGTCCTAAGGGTTTGAAATACGTGTTGGCATGATCATTTTGTGTCATATAGTGTCACGTCTTCATGTCAAGAACTGGTTAACAAGATGAAATTTGAACATGTAAGATAGAGATGAGGTCGACAGGTACATTTACTCAAGCCGAGGTTTTATACATTCAAATGTAAAAGTAAGAATACCTTTGTACCACCGAGAACATTGCATGACAAAAATGGCTAGCTGCATAGGAAGAAAAAGTGTTCTTCCAATATATTACATAAGGAATTCCCTGCAAACATGAAGATGGTGATCAAACCAAAGGAAATTCATCCATGACCTTATGTCATAACAAGATTCTATATCTCATACGTTGGTTTGTCCAATAAATTGCAAACATATCCAATTGTTGTTTATAATAACATCTTTCATCTCTTACCTTAGACTGAAGTGCTTCTGCAAACTTTTCGCCATTTGGGAACTCCAGATAAACCTTCATAAACATTTCATGTCAAATCAAATAAAACATCAACAGAACTAATCTTCACTTATGGATGACTAAATCAGCCTTTGCAAAAGAAAAAACGAAGAGCGTTCTATAGGCACAGAAGCAAGAATAGTCTAGCAGAGGAAATTAACCTAAACAATTAACAAGTTACGGAGGACAATTCACTTACAGCTATTGGCAATGTAGTACCAAAGAGTCCAGATACAGCTTCCGGAGAGGACAAATCATCCCCTCCCCAAACAAGGGGGCCAACATCATCATTTGGCAGCTGTTCTCCTTTCAAGTACACACAATTTGGCTGCCATGAATCAACAACCTTTTGAAACTCTTCAATAGTTGGATTTTTCAATGTTTGAACCTATATTGCAAATGATGATAATATGAATAACAGCCACGATATAACTGCATGCAGAAGTTCTTTCAAAACTTCATAAATTGAAGATTTTAATCCAAACAAATAACCTGAAAGAATTCGCACCTCTAAATGCCCCGAAGATACAATAACTGGGAAAGGAAAGATAGGCTTTTCATCTGCAACATCTCTCTCCTGTTTATTTTCTGCAGTTCTCCCACAATAGACGGCAAGGAGATTGCAAGTGTTCTTTGAAGCTCCTTGGGTATGTAACATCTTAAAATTATTCTCACTTTAATTAAACAGCGGAGCAAATCTCACAGTTTCCCAAAACATCAAATTCTCCACTTCAAAAACCCCAAAAAGTAAAGCATCCAGGGGCTGAGCCACCCGGGGTCTAGCGGGGACAACTGGATTTTGGCCTTGGGTATTTCCCAAATTACACTCGAGTAGCAGCAGGTGCTAAACCCAAGGAGAAAACGATAACCAACCACAACAAAAATTCAAGAGAGATATTTTCGAGAAAATCGCTGTTTCTGCAAAAGGAAGACCGACCACAAGAAACAAAAATTTTGTAAAAAACAAAAAATTTCCAAGGAGGTAGAAGAAGAGAATGGCGATAAGGCCGGGCAGACTCTTAGAAGTGGATCGACCCCCTTCCCTGCAACTGATAATGGTAAATCAGAAAGATTAGATCGAGGGTTTGTTGAAATTAAATAATCAACAACAATCAAATCGAGTTCAAAATCAATATAATACCAAACAGATGTGAAGTTTATTTTTCTACCCAAAAAAATCTGATAATACCTTCCAAAAGTTTGGTGATGAAGAAGACGATCTATACTCGTAGAAATCACTGCAACACAGGATAAAATCAGTGCCTTGTGATGAACACCACCTCTTCTTTTATTCTTTTCGTTCACAGTTTAATTGTCCTAGTTTTAGTTTTAGTGGGATTCGAAGGAAAAACCTGACAGGCCCGTTATAAACAGGCCTCTGTTAGTGATGGATATACAAATATGGGTTACAACATGAGGATGGGTTTTCAATTGGATGGGTATTGGTCTCCACCTTCATTCCATCTTGATACAGTTGTCAAAAGGTTTAGCCCTTGTTTTTTTCTTACTTAGTGCTTGTTTGATAGAGATTTTGATAATTAATTTTTTGATTGTTAAAAATAAAGTAGGTCCTATCTGTGTGAGAATAATTCAAAAATAATGACTGAAATAGTAAAATAACGATCAAAAATTTGATTTTAATTGAATTAATAGCTATACCAAACATGCTCTTAAAAAAGTGTATTTATATCACAATTTTTGTTATCTACATCTCATTTTAATTGCAATAAATATCTATCAGCTTTTCTTATTTTACACTTAAATTCTCAATTTTTTTAAATTTCTAATTTTAATTTTTTACAATAAACCCTCTATTAATTTTCACATTTTGTCTATAGAATCAATTTCGTTCAAAATGTTTGTTATGAGGGCGAAAAAGATAAATCTCTCTCCCTCCCTCCCTCTCTCTCTCTAAATGATCAAAATAAATAACTAATATAAAAGTTAAACAAATATTTGCCCGTCTTTTCATTGCAAGTTAGTAGAATATATAAATACAAATCGTGATTAAAAATAAAATATGGTAATTAATTGAAGGTTAAAAATAACAGTACGATAATAAAAAGTCAAAAACATAAAAGCAAAAGTGAGCTAACATTGGAAACCTTTTTAACAATTAAAATGTGGTGTAGATATAAAAAATTGTTTTGTGAAAATAATTATCAAGTTTTAATATGCCCTAATTTTATTCCTGATGAAAATTACCATTTTGCATTAAAAACGTCAATCAAATTTACACCATTTCAAACCCTGAATTTAATAGATTTGCTCTCCCTTAATTTTCTTACAGATGAGTTTATCTCTCGATCACCATCACACTTCATCTTTGGTCACCATGGCTGTCATCATCACTACCCACCCACGCCAAGCCATCAAACTGCCTCCATCATCACAACTCCACTACACATTGTGTTGAGAAAAATGTAGGAAAATCTGAATACTTAATGAACTCCAAAGCACGAAAAACGTTCTCTTTTAAAAGATGTTTCTCCCCTATCCAACAAAGTCACAACTGGGGTATGATAGAAAATCTCTCTCAAGATACAATGGAGACGTTTGATTCAAATTGTGAATATTTGATCAAACCAAGAAGACACTCGAAAATAACTTATTGATGCCAAGAGAAAGAAAAAAGAATAATTTTTTAATGTGTTTTGCAAACGAGAATTTGCCCAGAATTTATAGAAATTGAGGCAACCGTTTGAATAGGCGTGTCCCTTGAAATCCTTGCGTACTTCTATTGGAAGTGACTGTTAAAAACGAACAGATGCACCTATTCAATAAGTCGATCCTCGTTGCGCAATAGCAAACACTAGTCGGAGCGGTAAATCATTCGCAAAACAAAAATAAATACATGCAAAATGATGAAAAATATCTAACACATTGTTGCCTACATCTTTGGACATTGCCTTAGCCATGCTGCCACTTCTACGACACGATTTCTTCTCTAGCAACAATGGCGGTTATGACTCATGATTCCTTATGGAGGTGTTTGTCGACTACTGTATGTAATGGAAGTGGTAGCTGATCGAGTTATGGCGCTAGTAACACATATATTACCTTTACTGTTCTAAAAAGCTAGACTTAAGATGCGAACAAAATGTTTTGCCCAGGAAGCAAGCACGAATTAAAATTTATTTTTCCCCTCTTTTTAAAAAACCTTTTACTTGATTTTAGTTTATTAGTTTATTTATTTAATTTTCCTTTTAACATTAGTTGTACAAAAGTTAGAAATGATTTTATCCGATCAAGACCTAGAAAAGCTTTAAGTTATGATGCTATTTATATTATGTAATTACGATTTTAAGACTTATCGTTTCGTTGAAAAACTTTGAAAGTATGTATAAAGTTCCTATAAATTTGGTAAGTATGATTAATTTATTTGAAAGTTAAAACTATAGAAAATAATTTAGTTTTTACATTTCAAAAACTTGAAAATTCTATAATTGACTAATTGTAGGAATAATTAATTAAATATTGTATAATAACGAGATAATTATTGAGAATTGTTTAGTATTATCATGATATAAAGATAAATCTTATCTAGTTCAAAAAGTCTATTTCATATCAATTGTAACTCTTTTATTAGACCCCATAAAAACGGGTCTTGATGCTCAATAAAACACATACTTAAGTTTTGATTCATTTTATTTTCTTCCTTTTCTATCTAATTTACAACACATTATTAGTACTAAATCTTAATTTTTTAAAGTCGAGTGAAGGTAGTAATTTTTAGCATAATCATTTATCGTATATATCGAAATTAATTTCATGATAGAATTTTTATAAGCATGTACTCTTTGCTCCCCGTTTTCTTGTAATTCATAGACTTCTGAATTTGGCGACATCATTCTACTTTGGTTCTAATTTGGTGACATCATAATACTTTCTTGTTAATCTATAGATTTATGAGCAATCATTAGATATACTAGCTTCTATCTCTTTAATTCATGTACAGCGCAAACTGCCTTAGAGTCTATTTGAGAGTGATTTTGAGAATTGATTTTTTGACCGTTAGAAGAAAAGTAGGGTTCACCTGTGAAAGAAAAAGTCAAATATGACGGCTGAAATAGTGAAATAATGATAAAAAAAATTAATTTTTGGGGAAAAAAATCACTCCCAAATAGGCTTTTAATTTCTGTAATCAATTTATTTGAAGTCAATTAAATACGACTTTATAATTATTGTAATACATGCCTATATAAATAATCATTTACATTTGCATAATGATTTTTTTTTTTTTTTGCTAATACATATTTGGTAATTGATTTTTATATATAAATTCATATCATGTTTGTATGATAATTAATATTTTTAACGTTATTAAGAAGGTCTTTGATAGGGATTAAAATTAGATTTTTTAATAAATTGTGATAAAAATTTTTGAAATGTGTGGTTGAAAAGTTGTGGGACCTATGAAAGATGTAGTTAATATTAATTGTTTGACTTTTAATTAGACTAAAACTTGATTGTAATCCGTACCAAACGAGGGCTATATATTTTTTTATGTTCTTTTATAATTTATAATTTAATAATTTATCATATTGTTACTTCTAAAGTAGCACACGTTATAATTAATATTTCAAAAGAATATTAATCGAAAATCTATTTATTACAAACATTTTGTTATTGCTCCTAAAGTAGCACATTATAATTAATATTTCAGAAAAATATTACTTACTCCTGAAGAACACGAATTATAATTTTTAATATTCCAAAAGAATATTGAAATATTACTCTTGAAAACGCAATAGTAAAGAACAATGTGTTCTCGAAATAACACAAGTTTCGAAAAATATATTATTTTGAATTAGCGTTTGTCCATGAAGGAAAATATATAACTCATGTCATGTCGACGTTGATCATTTGATTAACTATTATTTGATTATACAATGTTTAATTATATTTTTCGCAACTAATTGTATTGCCTTTATTGTATAGTGAATCAAATGGCAAACATTTCAAAACTTGAGTTTGCTGTACTTTACACATCTGGCAAAAAACTATCCGTCATATGTTTTCAATGCTAATATTCATCTTCTCTCAAAGGGTCTTAGGGAAACAATAGAAGAAGAAAGCAAAGAATCCCTGCACATCTTCCTTCAATGTCATCTTCATGATCGATTGAAAATTGAATACCTCATTGAGAAATATCTAAGGGTTTGTTGGAAAAAAAATGACTGAAAGATTAGATCATCAAATGAATATAGTCCTATCCAAAACCCAGTATGAGTGGATGAACCCTCATTTACAAGACTTTAAAATTGTTAGTCAGTACAATTCTAAATTATTGAGAATATGTACAAAATTGATCTTGTGTGGAGAAAAATCAATTATGAAGATATGTTGGAGAAAACTTTTTGCACCTTTTATGTCTTAAATGTGCTCTTGTAGTAGTAATATCATGAGTGTGGTTTCAAAAGTATTCAAAACATATCTTGCCTATTGTAGTGGACAAAATAACGAGCTACTGATGAAAGATCATGGTCTACGTTCAACTGCATTTGTGTCATTGCCTGAAGCAAATAATACTGTATTGTCTAAAGCAAATGCATTATGAAGATAAGACGTGGACGCGATCGTGAACCTGATATAAACCATGGATAAAATAATCAATAAATCAACAATTTCAAAAGGCATAAAGTAAATGAAAGTAATACATTTTAAAAGGAATACTGAAAAAGTTGCTTTCATATGACAAAATATCTTAGAATCTCTATCAAAAATCAATCAAGGGAAAGGAAAAAGTAAAGACAAATTTCGCTGATCATGATGGTCAAACTGATGTTACTTATTTGGATGTTTTTAATTTTTTGCTGATCCAAAAGAGAATATTGACTATTTGATTTAGGGTGGTGTGATGTAAGATATAGATTAGTTTACATTTTAGTATTTCCTTTTATTTTAAAAATTTAGCCACCGTCTACGGTCCTTTAATTTGAAATATGTTTTTTTCCTTTTCACAAAAAAACTGTAACTTTATTACGCATCGTTAGTTTCATAATATTGAATTATATTTATTCCTTTAAATATAAATTCAATTTTTTTTTTCAAAATATGTTTATTATGTTATATTTAAAGATTCATGATGGATTGTCAAGATACTTGCTTGATTAATAGTACGATTAAATATACTATTTTTCGAGACAAAAAATATTTTTGGACTTAGCATTAATAGAAAATAATGTTAATACGATAAAAGGTGCATTAAATATCATTAAGTGCTCTGGAAGAACTTGTATTATTTTATCAAAGAATACAAAATTATATATTGATGATGCACTTTATTAGAGTAAATCCAGAAGAAATTGATTAGTTTTAAAAATATCCGCTGCAATGAATATCATATTGAGGC